CCCACCTTTTGACTTGGACTTGACTATGTGACTTACTTTGGTCAGTGGCATGTGGGGAGAAATGATAAATTTGCCAGTTCTAATCATAGATTAGAAGGCCTGAGGAGTGTCATTTTTCCTCTTCTGTCTCTGCCACCACTGTGGCTTACTTACTGATCTCAGGAGGATTGCAGAGTCACAGAGCAGAGGCTCATAAATCTGTAGTGGGAAATAGAATACAATCTGAGCTTAATATAGATTAGCCAACTGCAGTTATCTTGCAGAAATGTGAGCTGTATACATACCAACTTTTCTAAGCTACTGAGCTTGGGACGGTTTGTTATGCAACAATAGCTAACTGATAGAGATGAATAGGATTTAGAAGAGAAGAAACTATTTTTCTATTTTATCTGAAAATTCTCAGAAAGAAAAATAATTAGCTTTTTTGGACTTCAGTTTTATCAAATGTAATAAAGAGTTAAATATCTGTCTCATGGTTGTCATGAGAACTCCATAAAAGTGAATAGGAAGATTTTTAAACTATTTAAAAGCCACACTAATTCATTATCAAAATAAAATTCATTTGTAAACAGTTTAACTCCTTCCTTGTGCAGATGAGGAGACAGAAACACTGTGAAGATATGACATTTTAAAAATACAGTCATGAGAACAGGCTTGAATTTCTCCTTTTGATTTTTAATGCTGTACCTTTTCTTAAAAAAATAAAAACTGTTTAAAGAAGTATAGTACAGTAATACCAGAAATGAATAAAAATACATACTCTCCAGAGCTTTAGCCTTAATATATCTATTTTCATACTTGTTTCTTCTCAGATCTGACCATTTACCTTGATGATGGGAGTTTTGGTCTACATTGATAAGTGGACTTTTAGAATATTTTTTCCAGTTTAATACTACAGAAAATATTGCATTGCTTGGAAGCCCAAAACACAACACTTTAAGCCAAAGTTTTAGATGCCCAAATCACTTCTAGGCCCCTCTGGCCACTGAATATAAACTTAATGATTGCCTAGTTTCACTGCTTACCTGCTCACTGAGTTGCTCAAGCTCCATCATGGTTCTAGGGGGTACCTGAGCAAGTCAGCTTTTCTTTTGTTTATACTACTGGGAGTTCAGAATAGAGTATTTCCTCATCCCTGAGGGGGCCTTAGTATGCAGACTGGGCATTTTTGGCATTGGGTAGAAATGGGCCATCCTCTCCATGGACCTCATAGCTGTCGTGGTGGGGCTTAATTATGGCCTGGGCCAACTCTCTGGTCCAATTCCTCTTTCTCTGGTTTCCATTTGTAGATTCTCCTTTCTCTTGGAAGCTCTGTGGTTCTCTACTTACATCCCAGTATGTCTGGCTTCCCTCACCCCAAGTCTACAGCATCCAGTGCTAACTCAAGCATCAGGTTGAAAGTGCCACCTGATGTTTCTTTCCCATACTTTCTTCGTTGGCAAAGAGGCCTGATATTTGACCCTATCATGTGGTTATCAACTAATAAGCTATGAAAGAAATAATTTAATGGACAGATGTGAGGCTGGGGCTTGAGGTAGGTGTTAATGGGGCAGCTGCAAGAGGTCTTTTTATATGACCAGAGGAAAGAGCTCATTTGGAGCAGGGGTGCACTGAGCTCTGGTAGCTGAGATGGCCAGGCTAACTCTCTACATGCCTCAGATCACAGAATTGGTCCTGGTCGTGGCAGTAGGTCCACTGTGAAGGATCCAAACTGTGAAGGATCCAAACCTCAAGATCAGCTACAGTGAGAGCTTAGAGCCTTCTCAGGTCTTTTCAGAGCAGGCACCCACCCTATGTATGAAGAATCCCAGAAGTATCAGAGATTTTCAAAACCCTATTTGAAAATAGTTTTTCCTATTTTTTAGTTAGCTTATTGTTTGCTCCTGTTATCCACCACTTGAGGAAACTGTGATGATAAATTGTATTGATCGTCGTCAACAAACATTTCCACAGAAAAGATTGTTCAAACCGGGTGAGTTCTCAGTCAAGCCAAACACAAGCCTCGCAAGTGAGGTCTTCCAGGTGTTGGGGCTCAGGATAAAATTTGACAGTAGAAAACCAGAACATGCTATCCAAACTATGCCAACCTGACATTACTTTGAGCTAAAAAAATTGAGAACCAGCCAATATAAGGAAAGCTCTCACTTTTCCCTCAACTGTTTAAAATGAAGTACAAAACACTGCTTTTGTAAAGAGGAATCTACATCTATATAGGAACTTTTCACAGGTAAAGATATCTGTAGCAGGAAGGTTGCTGCTCTGATAATGTTGGAACCAACATGGCTATTTTTCTGGGATTTACTGTGTGTCTAGAACTTGCCTTGAATTCCCTACTCTGGGGGCCACAAGCAGCTTTCTGCAAGCTCAAAAGTGTCACAGACCTCCATCTAGGCTCTGCAAGGTTTCCTGTGACTGTGACCAGTTTGTGGGGGGGCGCAGCGGGCGTAGAAGGGAAACTCTGTACCAGCTTGTTTCTCTGTAACTGGCTTGTCTTTCTGACCACCTGTGAACCATCTACTGCAAAACCCCCCTGGTTACATAAACCACCTGGGGGGTACATAACTCATCTCCTGACACAGATCAATGCTCAGGGCTTTGAGAAATTATCTCCCGAATCCACTAGTATAATAAAATTCCTGATTCCTGTAAAGTGGTCTTGGTGACTTTGTTTCCCTCGCCGTTTCCTGCAACAATACAACCTTTTTTACTTGAAGGACTCTGCATAACAAGACAAACTTCGCTTACAGAACATTTCTTCTTCTGATTCTCCTATAATTTCTATTATCCTTCACCTTTCTGTAGTTCAGTATACCATAAAAGCTTCACTCATCTGGCCCTTCCTCAAATCTCCTATTTTTGTGGGACTCCAATGCATACATACAGAACTAAAATGGCTTTCTTCTATTATGTCATTTTAATTCATAACTTAGAACCTAGAGTGAACCAGTAAACAGGTCTAATAGACTTTTTTTTTTGTGGTAGTGGGGTTTGGACTCGGCCTACACCTTGAGCTGCACCACAGTTTTTTGGTGATGGGTTTTTTCGAGATAGAGGTAAGAGTCTCACAAACTATTTGCCTGGGCTGGCTACGACCTGCAATCCTCCCTGAGTAGCTAGGAATAGGCATGAACCACTCGCACCAGCTAAATTCTTTAGGAATGGTGTTTTGAAGGCCATCCAGTCCCTTTCCACCCTCTCCAGTTGCTGGAGTTGGTTTCCACTGTGATTGTGGGTGGGCAGCTGGTTTTTTAAGACTATGGCAGAACTGTGGAGTGCTGGTGATGGTAGAAAGGGGCATGTTAAAATGACACAAAATTTGCTGTTCTTATTGAGGTACAACCACTTTTTTTTTTTAAATAAAATTCTCCTAGGATTGCTACAAGCCTATGATAAAGTTAGAATTCTGAGAAAAGTGATTCTGACAATTTAAAAATTTTTCGTTAGCAACGCTAGGGATCAAACCCAGGGTCTTATGCATGGTAAGCACATACTCTTCCACTAAGCTATACTGCTAGTCCATTTTTGTCAGTGTGTATTTATTTATGGAGGAAGGAATTTTTAGAGGTTCTTATGCCACCATTCCCATGGACTTCACTATGTGTTTAATATTTAAAAGTATAACTTGAAAATCACAAGTGTTTTAAAACAGTAGCCTTTCCTTCTAGAGCAGATTTTTTTTTTATATACACTGTGATTATCTTAGACCAGGAGTTCTCATATATTTTATTCTCATAACTTCTTTATATTCTTGATATAATTGAGGACCTTTACTTATGTGAGTTATATCTAATATTTAATGTATTAGAAATTAAAATCAAAAACATTTTTTTATTTTCAACACAGTAATACAAAAGCTCAGAGTGATGGTATCATTGCATCATTTAACATCTGGAATACTCCAAAGCATGCAAGATAGACAATGTGAGTAACAGAGGCAAACAGAAATTTAGCAGCATTATGAAGAATTTTGACCACATGGATCCTTTTAAAGCATCTTGGGGGCTAAACTACACTTTTGAGAGTTGCTGTCTCAGATAGTTCCAGAGACTATAAGACATTTATTGAGGAGCTACCAACACCTTAGGAAGTTAAGGAAGGAGTATAGAGTCAGGAGTTGAAATGTAATGCTGCCATAGCAAAGGTCTTAGCCATCCATTCCCACAGTAAAGCTTGAAACTGGGATATTCTTTTGGAATTATGGACCTTGGCAAGGGGTCTAGACCTTTATGCATTCACATTGTGAATTCAGTTGGGTGTGGTCTAACCATGCAGAGGTAGAAAAATCTTGGGCAATGGTGCTCCCTTTGGCTGAGTACAGTTCCCTGCTGTGGCACTGAACACCAATACTCCGTAGCTGGTTAATTGTATGGCTCGAGCTTAAAGGGAGTGACCTAAGCCAAGCAATACAGCATCCACTAGTTGTCTGTAGAAGGATGCCAAAAAGGTTTTGATGATGGAAATATAAAATACAGAAAGGGATCTTTTTCTTAGGTTCTGAGATGCAACTCCTAGTCTTATGAGAAGTTGGTCCCTGAATAATATCTCTCCCACTTCACTAAAATTCCTTGATCCTATGGGACAACCTTGAGGATTTCCTAAATATCCTTACAATTCTGGCCTCGGATTAACTTATTCTGTTCTCATTGTCATTGTCATTTATAGTCTCATCAATGTACTGGATGAATGACTGAGAGACTGGTCTAGTTCCAACTCAGTCCTTTTTTTTTTATAGTCTTGGGGTTTGAATTCAGGGCTTTGCACTTGCTAGGCAGGCACTCTACCACTTGAGCCACATCCCCCAGTACTACCATGTGCTTCTGACTAAGACTCTTCACTCATCTTCATCTCAATTTATTTCTCTCTAAAAGGAGATATTTGAAATTAAGCAATCCAAGCATTTGAAGGATTCATATGTTTTTGGAATAACCCAATACACATTTTCCTAAAAAAAAAAAAAAAAAACAAAAAACCCTTGAATTCTTCGAAGTCATGTACCTCAAAAACCAGGGCATATGGAAAAAAACAAGGCTAGGCTCAGACAACTAAAACTCTCATGGAGGCTTATTTCCAGAACACTAACAAAAACATCAACAATAGTAATAATTTAAGCAAAGTTATCCTAATTCCTAAAAAATAAATTAAAGCATTTCATAGTCAATATAGAGATTTACCTTCTAAGTAAGTGAATGTAGTTTACTAGAAAGAAATGTAACGAAAAGATATTTACTGAATAATGGGAACAAAGCAGTGGCAAACAAATAGGAAAAAAAAAGATTTGTTTTATATGGCTTGGCAATTTCTACTATGAATGATTTTAGCTCATTACATTCATCAAAATTTAACAATGTGTTTTCTGTTGCTGTGACAAAATACCTGAAATCAATAATTTAAAAGTAAGATAGATTTATTTTGGGTTATGGTTTCAGAGGCTTCAGTTCATGGTTGCTTGGCCTGTGTTGCCTTATGTTGTGTAGGGAACACATGGTGAAAGAAATTGTTTACCTCATGGCCATCAGGAAACAAGAAGAGAGAAAAGAAGAGGTGGGGATCTCAACATACCTTTCAAAGTCACATCCTCAATGACTTGCTTCCTCCAACTAGGCCCTACTGTCTAAAGTTTCCACCACCTTTCAGTAGCACTTCCAGTTGGAGACCAAGCCTTTAACAAATGAGCCTTTGGGAGACCTTCTAGATCCAAACTCCCAAGTGGATGCAGCTGGATCCAGCACAACACATGACAACACTGTGACAAGAGGCTAAAGGTGGGTAAGAAATTGCAATTTTTGGTATACAATTGTCATGGTTTTGGGCTTCTTCAAATTGTAACTGTAAACCAAGAGGAAGACTATATAGTGAAATAGCATTAGATATTCTAGTGTATTTCTCTGTGATTGGCTGGACTCAGTTTTTGGTGTATTATGGACTCAAATAATCCCTTCCTCAATGGCATAAAACTCTGATAAGGACAAACACTGAGTATGAGTAAACGGGACATGGTTTACATTAAAGAAAACCAACCTGTAAACAGAACAGATTTTATACATGTGAAGAGTGGTTGGGTGTGGGAGGTATGGAAAAGGATGGTAGTTGGTAATGAGCATGTCCAAAGATAATGGCAGAGTATGGGGAGACTGGATAAATGAGCCTGGGAACAAGAAGCTAAGGCTCAAAGTGGTGAAAACATTAAGTCAATAATTTCTCTAAAGTGCAGAGCTGATAAAGCTATGGAGGGGAGAAGACAACTCAGAGTGATGTTAGGTCAAGATCTGAATAAGGGATGGGTAGGATGAGGAGGAGGAAGGGATCAGGGTTGGATGTAAATTGTGAAAATCAGTCTTGAGTTCTACCCAGAATCCCTCATATTGCCTTGTTGCAGATCCTTCTCATTTCTGCATTTCTTAGCCCATCTTTCTGTCAGTCTGCCATCCAGAACCAAAAGAAGGGCTGGATTTTGTTACCCTATTAGATATGGAACCAAAAATTGGAGAATGTATACCTGCCAAATTCCAAGGTGCCATTCTTATTTCACTATTAGTCAGGTTTCACTTCATTTTCTTTCTGTATTCTCCCTGAATATCCTATGTGGGCTTCAGCTTGAGATCTTTTCTTTCTCTATAACCTTTCTTCATGAGTGTGTGTGTGTGTGTGTGTGTGTGTGTGTATATATATATATATACACACACACACACACACACACACACACACACACACACACACACATCACTTCTATTCTGGATCCCAAGTTGTTTCCTATCACACTCATGCTCAACTCAATCTTAATTTATGTGTCCTTGAACTTTACTCCAACTTCCCTGAACCTGTGTGATTTAAAGCACATTAAGAAGTCCCCAACAATCTGCCAGTCCAGTTGCATCCCTATTTTCTTAAACCTAATTCCTGCCAACAGAAGTAACTGAGGGTCTGTATGACAGCAACAGCTACAGCTTCAGGAGAAGGGACAGAAATTAGAGAAAGGTTAAAGAGCAAAGACCTCTTGCTTATTGGTTGAAGTGAGGAGGCTGAAGGAGCCTGTGGCTGGAGTGAGTTGTTACTTGTTTAGAAAGGAGAATATCTCTACTTCTGAGTGACGACAATTCTACTATGGGAGACAACAAAATCTCTTTAAAGGCTTTGGGCATCAACAAGGACTGTGACTTTTGGTGGCTTATCAACAATTGGACAGATGATCAGGGGGTTCTTATCACAAGTCCACAACAAGAATAAAGGACGAAGGGGGCCAGAGAAAGAGGTCTTGGGGAAAGTATAGATATGGGATCTGTCATTCACATTGTAGAAGGAGACAGTTCCTAATTCATAGTCCAAGAAAATCCCCACCTGACGAGGAGCTCCTGCCAATACAAGAGGGATCCGGGGTTGGGTGAGGGCCCAGTATGCCTTTTCAGACAACTCCATAACCCAGTAGCCAGTCTTGGGAGACATGAGGATAAATCCTTTCCTTATTACATTCTCTTTACACACTCCAACCAGCCAGTCAGTCCTGTATCCCACGTCCACCTCCCAGTAATGTCTTCCTGAAGTGAAGGCCTCCTGGCCCAACACACAGGGCCAGGAGTCAAATCTCTCTGGTTTGTTAGGCAGTTTCTGATGTGACTCTTCCAGTCGAACTGATTTTGAATCCTCATATAGAAAGAGGTAGGGGTGGGCCGTGTCTGGATCCAAAGTCACATCAACTGGAGACAGAGAGAGAGTATAACCATCAGCGAATGTTAGAGGTTATAGGACCCCTTCTCCCTTCTCCCAAAGAGCAGTGTTCTGGGAGTTGATAGGTGTCCTCAGGGGAGAGCTGCCTGGCCTGCTCAGAAGTTTCCATTCCTCCCAGACTCCCACCCTCCATCAGCAGCTATGGGTGATGTAACAGCTGATACTGTCCAGGGTTGCAGTGTTTACTGTGATCCCCTCACAGAGCTTATCTTTGGGTCATCCTCCCAAGGAATTATTAGGCTTTTCCCCACAATTTAAAGTATTTCATCACTATATGCATATCAGTATTTTTCATTTACACTTATTCTTGCCCTTTGGATTCTTGAGGAGTCAAATCTCAGAGCCCAGAAAAGTGCCAAGTGAACTGACCTGCATACAATCGGGCCAATTGCCATTCTGAAATAAAACAGAAACCTAAGTCATTGACAGGTTAGAGAGAATGTTTTTTGAATTTTACAACAAAAGGCAAATCAATTTTTGAGAAGTTTCTCTGTACAACACATAGAAATACCTTACAGGACTTTTGGGCCTAAAGATGTGAGGAATAGGACAAAAGCAGGAGTGGGCAAGATACAGTGGAAGATTGTTACCGTCAGTATCTGACTGATGAAACATCACCAGCCAATCAAGGACATGAAGTATTTTTGTTCTTGTAGAAATAACCTGGAAGCTCTTGATGATTTAGGATCAGCTCTTTAGTTAACAGACTATTGCTCCATCCAGGGGGAGTGAAAAGCAACATGGAAAACCCATTACCTACTTCCAGAACAACTCCACAGCCTAGAATGTGTACTCAGGAGTTAAGATGAACGAATTTCTTTTTTTTTAATCACATTCTTCTTACCCTTGCTAATTGCCCAGAGGCTCCTGTTCCCACCCCTTAGTATTATATACCCAAGTAGTAGATATTGGTGGTGTGACCTAATGGTTCACATAATTAAGTATCTGCATCCAACTCCATCATGAACTCTCACTCCTCTTCAGAATTCTGAATATTTGGTATCTCATGTATTTATATTCCCTTTCAACTGAAAGTTCTGAAATAACACATTCAAGGGGACTGCATTTCATCTTACAGGATTACCCTTCAAAAACTGATTCCTCATTCACACAAACACCTGATGTTCCATGACTTACCTATGTGACCAGTTTTGTCCTTTCTCTTTCTGACTATTTTCCCATACAGTTTCCAGGAGAAAAATGTTCCAATGACGATAAGTCCCACAAATATCACAGGCCACATCAAGGTTTTCCAAATTAGGAAAGAGGAAGCTGAAACGAAATACCCAAGAAATGTGTTTCCTGTGGGCTGTGGTGGTGCATGCCTATAATCCAAGCACTCAGGAGGCTGAGGCAGAAGAATTTTGAGTTCAAGGCAAGCCAAGGCTATATAGCAAGACCCTGTCTCAAAAAAAAAAAAAAAACAAAAAACCCCAAAATAAATGTATTTGCTAACATCTTTAAAGAAATCTAGCTCTTCCTTGGCCCACAGGGACTGGGGTAGGATGTGTCACTGGGCCCCTTCCTGTCTGCACCACATCATGCCCTAACCAAGCCTTCTTTTGTCAGTGACAGTGGCTGTAATTTCACCCCATTTTCAGAATCATTTCACTTTCAGATGGGAGAAAGTAGAAAAACAGAGAAAAGCAATGAACTAGAGTTATTTAAGTTAGGATCTATTTGATAAAAAAAAAAAAAAGAAAAAATTTTAGCTGGGCATGGTGGTGCATACATGTAATACCAGAACTGGGGAGGTCAAGGAAGGAGGATCATGAGTTTGAGGCCAGCCTGGGCTTCATAGTGAGACCCTGCCTGAAAATACAAAATAAAAGAAAAAAATGAATCTTTTACTTATAGAGGTCGATGCCCAAATCCCCCTGACATTGCTAAATGTAGGTGGGGGAAATAACATCTCTGAATATCATAAAATATGATTCAATTGATGACCAAAGCTTAAAGAACAATTGCCTACTTTTTGAAGATTCCCCTTCACTCCTTCTCTTTCCATTCTAAAGATTCATTTAGAATAAGGAGAAAGGCCACAGAGCTGCAGCACTTTTGCCTATTCACATCAATATTACCAGCATCTACTTTCCATAATGTTTGGTGATTGCAACCAACAAGGTTTGTTTTTGGGTTTTTGTCATTCAAGGGAAGAATTTTTCAAAATAAGTGTTTTATTTAAAACAAAAATTCTCCCTCATTTCTGAAAAGTTGAAGAGACACTCTTGAAAAGCACTGTTCCATTGACAGACAGTCCAGAGTTTTCCTTGGGAAAGGAATGGAGAAGTCAGAGGAAATGTTTTTGAGATGGACAAAAATACAGGCAAATATACAGGGGCTTATGGGAAGCTTTTAAAGAAGTGTTAGGTTCAGTCTGGAGTCATTTTGAACATGATGCAATCTTTTTACCTAAAGTCATTACCTATCAAGTCTAGAACACCTCTGAGGTGTGGGGTTACCTTGTCACTAATTCAACATATACATTTATTGATTGCATATTACATGGCAGGCACTGTTATAGACTGAAGATATATAGTAGTAAACAAAACCACAAAAATCTCTGCTTTCATGGAGTTTATATGTTAATCCCCCAAGAATATTACTCTTTCATTTATTTCCTCTAAAAAGTGGGAGGTTACTATGAAAACACATATGCTGGGACATGAAATAATTTTTTATTTTTATACAATTAATTATATATTACTTAATTGACTTGTGTCTTTTAACTATCTTTACTATCACAACTGCTTATCCATTTAGAACACTCAGAATATTGAGGAACATTAGTGTGATTTACCAATATTGAATTAGACATTCTCCCACAGATCATATTTAATCCTCAATAAAGTTTTATGGGATTAAACATTTTATCTTAGTATTTTTATACACTAGAAAATGAGGCTCAGGGACGTTAAGAAACTTATGGTCCCCTGAATCACTCAATTAGTAAATGACAGAACTAGAGGAATTATACCCAGGGGTATCAGATTTCAGATAAAGCTTTTGATTTGATTTTCTTTATAGAAGTTCTGGGTGAAAGAAAAACTTTGATGACAAGGAATATTGAGTAAAGGGTAATAAAGTTAAGTTTTACTGGTTAAAGAGTAGGTATTTCTGAGATTCAAGATCTTTTGCTGAACTGTAGGGCAGAAGGAATATACACGGAGAACACCATTAAATGGAATAGAATGCATTTAATGACATCAGTGGGAAAAAAAAACCAGATAGCTCTGGAGATTCCTTTTGTAATAATTAGTCAGTATACCAAGAAGACAAAAATCCTAACTGTACATATACCCAAAAAAAAGCTGCAAAATATGTGAAACAAAATCTGATAGAATTTAAAAGAGAAATAAACAGATCCATAATTATACTTTTTGTTGTTGTTGTTGTTTTTGGTCATACTGGGATTTGAATTCAGGGCCTACACCTTAAGTCACTCCACGGGCCCTTTTTTGTGAAGGGTTTTTTGAGATAGGGTCTCATGAACTATTTTCACGGGCTGACTTCAAACCTCTTCAACATCCATCTGTCAACAACTGATAGAACTAGACAGAAATCAGCAAATATATAGAACTCAAAAAACTATTAACCAAGAGGACTTAATCAACATTTGTAGAACACTGCATCAATAACAGAAGGATACACATTATTTTCAAGTGTCTACAGATCCATACACCAAAATAAATCATACATAATCTGCATTCCAACCAAGGCAACTCTCCTACCCTACGAGAAAGCTTTTTCATCTGGGGTCTTCAGCACAGGCCTCCCTCAGGTACCTCTGCCAAAAACTTTGTTATGTGAAGAAGCTTTGAAGACATTTTTCTTCATTCTGATTCAGTACTTCTTCACTCTTAGTTCCTGTTTTCCCCTATCATATCGTCAGGGCTCCATAAAGGCAATGAGACAATTCCCTATGTCTGCATTGACCCAGTTGAGCCTGGCTTGTCTCAGTACTTTCCTCAATTTAGCCTCTTCCTTATACTATTGAAGTGTATAAATAAAGGCTGGATTGTTGCCTTATCTTGGCTTACTGCCTTAATTGGCTATTTTGACATTTGGTTCAGCTCTCGCCAGTTCTGCTCAGTTCTTGACAAGACATAGGCAAGCAAGCAGTGACAAAACAGAAATTTATAGCTCTAAATGTGTATATTAAAAAAGAGAAAAATTCAAGTCAATAATTTAAATTCCACTCAAGAACCTAGAAAAAGAGGGGCAAAATAAACCCAATTCAAGAAGGAAGGAGGCACATGCTTGTAATCCTGGCACTGGGAAGGATAAGGCAGGAGGATTGTGAATTCAAGGCCAAGATGGATTTCATGGCAAACTGCTGTCTCAAAAAAAAAAAAAAAAAAAAAAAAGAAGAGGGTTAACAAAGTTGAAAACAGAGAAACAATAGTAAAAAAATCACGAAACACAAATCTAGATTTTTGTAAGGATCAATTAAAAAAAGCAAGGGCTAGGGATGTAGATCAGTAGTAGTTCTTGTCTAGCGTGTATAAGACCTTAAGTTCAGTCCTCAGCAACTCTCCCCCTAGAAAAACCTTTTAGAAAAAGTAAAAGAGGAAAAAACCAGGTATCACAAATAATCAACATTAGGAATGAAACAGAGTATCACTTCCAATCCTTTGAACACCAAAGGATAAGAAAAAGAACACTAGAACAATTCTGAACACAAAAATTTGACAACTTAGATGAAATGTACCAATTCCTTAAAAAATAGAATCCAATGCAACTCACTCAATATGAACTGAGGAAATTGAAATCTTAACTTTAAAACTCTCGAAAATAAATCTTCACACCAGACCATTTTTTAAATTGTTGTGCTGAGTGGGGGTACACTGTAGCATTTACAGAGGTTCTTAAAGTGTGTCAAACGTATCATAGTTGAATTCCCTCCTCCACTGCTCTCCTTCATCTCCCCTTCCCTGATTCCTGGAACAGTTTCAACAGGTATCATTTTTGCATTTACATACATGTGTATACATTATTTGCACAATATTCATCCTCCTACCCCTTTCCACACCACCTCCCCGCCCACACCAGACAAAATCAGTTCTGCCCTCCTCCTATTTTGTAGAAGAAAAAACATAAAAGATAAAAAGAGAAACACAATGTTTTTGCTAGTTTGAGATAAAGACAACTACACAGAGAGTTTCCTTGTGTTGTTTCCACGCATATATGTGTTACAACCCAAACTGGTTCATCTCTACCAGTCCTCTTCATTCCTCCCTAGTCCCCTTCCCATGCTGGCCCTGACCAGTTTAAGATTTCTGTACTTATTCCTGTTCAGTGAGCACATCAACCTCATCCAAGTTTTTGATTTCCTTCCCTTGTCCTATCCCTCCTGTGCACTGCCTCCCCTTAGCGTGACCAGTGTCCATAATATAGCTGCATTTGTTTTAGGTCTATAATCTGCGTATGTGGGAGAACATGCCATGCCAGATCATTTTAACAGAGAATTCTACCAAATGTTTCAAAGAAAATTAACACCAACTCTACACAATTCTACTCAAAAAAAAAAAAAAAAAGGAGCTTTTCCTAATGTATTTTATAAAGGTGGTATTACATTTTGTTGGCAGTGCTCTATTGAACACAGAGCCATATGCATTCTAAGTACTTACTCTACCACTGAGCTACATGCCTTCCCCAGTATCACCTTGAGCAAAAACCAGAAAAGACCTATACACCAGTAACTCTGGTTATGTATACACAAAAATTACTAACAAAATAGTAATATACAACGTGGTCAACTGGTGTATATTCAGAAATTCAAGGCTGATTCTATATTCAAAATAAGTCCATGCAATCCCATATTAACATTCTAAAGAGTATCACATGATGGTATCAATTGAGGAAAAAAAATTTGACTAAATGCAACATTCTTTCATAGAAATTCTCATAGAGCTAGAGGCATGGCTCAAGCAACAAATGACAAAAAACACCTCTCAGAAAAATAGAAGTGAAGGGAAACCTCCTTAAACCCTGTAGCTACGCCAGGCAGGATGGCACACACCTGTAATCCCAGCACTCAGGAGGTAGAAACAGAAGAATCATGAGTTTGAGTTCAGCCTTAACTACATAGCAAGTTCCAAGCCAGTCTGGGCTACATAGTGAGACCCTGTCTCAAAAAACAAGGGCTCAGTGGTATAACACTTGTCTAGCAGGCACAAGGCCCAAGACCTATGGCTAATCTGATGCTTAATAATGAAAGATTCCTCTAAGATTGGGAAAAAACTATTGTGTCTGCTCCCCACTTTTATCAA